ATATGGTCGATTCAAATCCAGTCATAAGTCACTATAAATGTTGTTTGTCCTTGTTTGTTTGTACTCCCCCCCCCACCCCAACTCTCCTTTATGTTGTAAAGCGAGTCAGAGAAAAGCACTATCGAAATACAATTTATTATTATTATTAGATAAGTGAAAACAAAAAAATATCATCGAATAGTTATTAGTAATAGTAATTATAATACTTGACCTCGTATATCATCATCAACATTACCTTTTTTTTATTTTGTTGATTTAGATTGAGGGAAATGTGTTGAATATATTCCTATAAGTGATCTTTAATTATTTAACATGGAAAATACAGCGGCTGTCAGAATACAGTGGCTGTCAGCGTAGAAATCAGCATACATTTTGGAAGTTAATGGGAAATTACAATCAGAAAATGATGAAAATCCAAATCAGTGTCAATTTAATTACTGTAGATTTCATGTTATTTTGTTTATTTTATTTTGTTTCATTGACCAAGACGTGTATCAGTATAAGCAGTTGCATTTTGCAACACCATCACTGAACTCACAGCACTGATGGATGAGAATCCAGGCCAGACATCTCTTCCTTTCACACAGCCTCATGATTTCACACAGCTGTTTATAAGGGGTATGTGTGAGTGTGTGTGTGTGTGTGTGTGTGTGTCTTGTTACACTGAACCCGCTCTCCTCCTCCTCTTCCTCACCCAAACCTGAGCCCTATCTGACACAGCCTGCATTTCACATCCTACTGTGTGAAGCTCCTGACGTGATTGGAAGATAACTAAAACATCTGTGGTCATTGCATCATTACTTGTGAGTGGCCTCAACAGCAGCAGAGAAGATTATGTCCATCAAACTAGATTTATAAACTGAGGCGTCAAGTTCTCATAAAAAGAGAGATGACATGTTCAACAAGCCATCTGAGAAACGTGCTAAAAAGGTTAATTTTAGCATTATGTATTTTACAACATGCTGCAGTGCTACAATACTATTGGAATAAGCTGCAGTTGAATGGTTCCCCTTAAGGTATATTCTTAATCATAAGGTCATTCATTTCACAGTGTAATGCATGTGATTAACTGTCTTGTACTAAGGTGCTTTGGCAGCAGTTCTCCTTGGAGGGCAGTAAGATATTTTACTCTAATTTGAATGTGACAGCCCTCCCATACAGCCAGTCCAACACATGAGGAGAATATTAAGTTGTTAAAGCGGCAAGTGCCTCATGATGGGATATATTCTTATACGGCAAACGCAGTGATTTGCACTAAGTGAAAAAGAAGGCAAAAATAAAAGATAGAAAACATATCAATATGTCATTCAGACTAATGTTTACCACAGCATCTGCAGCTCCACACAGGAGAAGTACTTGAGGAGATTAAAGCAGCGGCCAGCAGACAGACAGAGCACGGCATGTTTCCAAGGTAACAAGCTGTGCTATGGACAAGCACTTTTTGATGGCAGCAGAGTCAATATACAGAAGTCTTTCTCAAGCAGATGTCCACTTGATTATTCAGCTACACGGAGAATGAAAGCACAAAGACATTCACATCTCAGAACAGAAGCCCGGTGTGTTTGTACTGCAAACTAAAACACTGATTGAACACAACTAATTACAAGGACAGTATTGTAGGTATGGTTTTCTTGGTAAAAGTTATATTTCAAGGAGACCAAAACAATTAAATATAAGGTCAGGTCAGAGGGCTGCAAGCTTATTTTAGCCCCATAACCCGCTGTAAGACAACAAACTGTAGTTTTAAAACTTTAGTTTTTCTCCAAATTAAACAAATGAGCATGTCAATTAGTGGGCATTAGAGGTGAAGGTAGGGGATTTAATGAATCCCTTACCAACCGCTCCCAATTATTCCTGCAGTTTAAAATCCATTGATAAGCCAACTAACCGGCTGCTGGCTGTAGCCCCATATTTATCATACAGATACAAAAGGGGCATCAATCTTTTTATACATCTCTTGGCAATAAAGCGTATTTTCCATCTATTTAACCAATGCAAATAAATAATTCATGAAAAAATGTCATGTTTTTGAAACAGCAAAATACAAAGTGTGAGTATGTGTGTGTTGTTTGGCTGTCAGCAGCTGCAGTGATGCTGCCTGCCTCTCCGATGTGGTAGACACTATGAAGGTTCGACATGTCTGTGGTATTTTTGACTCCTTTCAGGCGAGACGGTCTACGTGGACTTGTACTATGTATTACTTAAAACTCTCCAAGAAGGTTGTTCAACTTCTTTTCTCTCTTTTTCCTGCTTGTGTTTAACTGGGTGCCAAAATGTGGCTGTGTGCAGAAGAGCTGGAATACATCTCATTTTGTGGGGAAAGGAGCGGGGGCTCTCGGTGTGTGGCAGAGGCCTACTCTTGGATTCATTTGTGTGACGTGAATTAATGGCTCACTGGAGTGTGGTTGACGCCCTTTAGTATCACCCACAAAGTACGGCGCAGCTCCAGATGAGATCCTCGCTGCATTAGATCACCCAGCAGCCTGAGCACAGATGATAGATGCAGAACCAGATGAAATGATGTTGTCACCTAAATCTGTTTTTGTCTCCCTGATGAAATCTTCTCTAGGGGAGTACTTCAGTTACAACTCGGTCTGGAAACCGTCTCATCTCTCATGATTAACTTGGGTTCAAAATGTGAAAAAGACCCAGAAGTACAAGCACCCATCATCACTACCCCTCTCATCCAGCCCAAAATGCTATTCTTAGAGTGTGCTATTTTTCTTTGTCACATACTGTACTCTACTTGCTTTTTCTCCCAGAGGAAAAAAATCATGTATTTTATGTGAAGCCTGTCATTGTACCTGGTGGAATAGAGACAGGGGAATGAAATGTTGTGTGTGTGTGTGTGTTTTCATTCCAGTAGTTTGTGTTTAATATATTCTATTGGTTCCAGGCTTGCGGTGAGATTACAGCCACACCTTTTCCTTGAACACAAATATGGGTTTCATTCAGAAAGCCACTTTGGTCAAGTCTTATTTTAAAGCGGTAAGCATTGTAGCCTGTATTCCTCTGTGGCAAGCGAGGAATCAACCATGCCTTTATTTCTGTAATTCAAGGTTTAGTCCACTTAAGGAACAACTCAGTGTGAGCACCAGAGAGAAATTGGCAGCGTGACCGTGCCATGCTATAGGTATTGATTTTGTAGCTTTGTAGGCTATGGTGTTTACAAACCTGCTCAGACTGAAGCCAAATCATTGTTGTTCTGCCTCCCGTGGGATAACAATGTAGTTCAGGCAATAGGATGCCTTAACAGTAGATCCTTAGAAGGGCTAGAGAGTGCAATGAGACTGGGGCACTAATGGCACATTTCCACTGCAGCAGGGTAGCCCCGTTTAAGCGTCCCTAGCGTCCTCGCTCAGGCCTCGGGCTGCCTCGCCGGCCGTCCGAGGCCGTGGCGCATTTCCATTACAGTTTAGGACCTGGGGTAGCAACGCAGTGTAGGCGGGGCGATCGGCTTCACATTTCGAGTTGTTCCGTCGAGCTCCCGCTGGATTTTATCATCCCCAATTAGATGTAGGAACGTCGTCACCTCCTCGGTCGACCACGGTGTGCTTTTTTTCGACGTTGCCATTTTTGTAGCTCCTCTGTGTATAAAAATGCTGCAAGCTTGCTTCTAAATATATATGCGACGCTAGGGATGATCTCGCGCGCGATCTTGTGACGATTCTCTTTGACCAATCAGCAGTCGAGAGTGTTGACGTCACTAGTTCAGCCCTGGCCTGATAGAACCACGATTTTATGGGGCCGGAAAAAGAGGGAAAAAGTACCCGCTAGCCGGCGCTACGCTATATGGAAAGGCAACCAAAAACTGGTTTGGCCGCTTGAGGACGATTACGGAGCGTCCACACAGCAGCGTGCGTTGACGCTTGGCGGTGGGCGTGTCTGAAGCTTGGGGATTTTTTGCGAGCAACGCGACCAACAACCAATCACATGAATCTCCCGCCCCCGACATACAAAGCAATAGCAATGTTAAAACGAAGTAAACTGGATATAAAATCCCCAAACAGGCGAAAACCTACCAGTTACACCCACTGTCTCTGCCACCTCCCTCCATGCCTCGCTCCTCCGGTTTGTATCCCGGTAGATGAACAGAGACTGATCATACGGCACCGGGTGATTCACTACCGCTATAATGAATTTTCCCTCCATTTTTTGGAATATGAGGAAATTACCTGCGTAGTCTCTCCCAGGCCAGCATACACGCAGTTTGATTGGCTAGCGCTTGTACTGTCAGATTTGCTTAAATGGGATTTCATTGGCTGACGCTTCTGCCGAGGCGCCAAAAGTTGAACATTGCTCAACTTTTGAAGCAAGCAACGCCAGCAACGCTCCACGTCGCTTCCCAAAATGCAGTTCTGCTAAAAGTGACGTCACCCCATTCAAAGTGAATGGGCAGAAGCGTTGGAAGCTTCAACGCACGCCGCTGTGTGGACGGGCCGTTAAACGGGCCGTTAAACGGGGCTACCCGCTGCAGTGGAAATGTGCCATTTATAAGCTTGACACAAGCAGAGCTGCAGAAACATCCATTACACTTTATCTGGTTTCAGGCTAACAGAAGTAAGAGGCTTTAATTCAGATGATGTGCTAATTACAGTGTAATCAACTGTTTAGTATCATAGCGTCAGTGCTTAAATATGCTACTTTTAGCATTTTAGCATCGATAAAACAATCACAGACAGGGCGAGCAGCCTCTATTTGGTGTTTTACTTTATGTGCCACCTGGAAGAGCGTTGGAGGAAATCTGATTGATGCTTTACAACATAACAGAAGGAGGATGCTGTTCCTCCAACTCTAATGAAGCATTCACATCTCCTCGCAACAGCAGATGGAGCAGGAGAAACGCTTGTGGAATAATAATGTTTATCCTTTTATCCTGATGCAAAACATAATCATTTAGACGCAGCGGATTTATGATTTAATGCGCAAATACTCGGGCCAACAATATCACAATTTGGCATTTTATGTTTTTTAATGATTTTAAAAAACAGACATGATAGACTACAGGCTACATGAAGCTCTAGTTTGTGCCTTTAATGTATCACTATACATTTGCACCACAGACATAACCATCTGGAGGAAAACGCTTTCAATCCGCAGCATGATTTAATGAATGTTTCTGTCAAGTTGCAAAAATATTAATAATGAACGTATCAGTAAAATATGTATTGACACATGTTTTTGTTAAACACCAGATAAACAACAACCTTGCAATGCAATATCTGCTTGTAGTGACTTCAGCATTATTCTACTTTTTATGGCTGAATTAAGTCTCTCACAGCACTTGGTTGAGGTTAGGAGAGATGATGGTCTTGGTTAACTACAGACAAAATCTGCAGCGACTTGAAACACAAATCATTACGTGCCTATTAACATTCAACCACAGCCACCATCTTTCACTAACCTTAACCAAAGTGTTTCTGCAGGATGCAAATCCTGGTCTCTGGACACAGTCCTGAGGTTTCTCCACCAACCACCCATCCTGGCCTCCAGCACTGTAAACAAATGAAGCACTTCATTTAGTATTGTAAAAAAATAGTAGCAATATACTGTAGTACTATAGGAAGGCAAATAGCAGCACTTTGAGTGTGCAACATGGCCCATCAGATATTGGTTCATTACTCAAGTTGTACTATAAATGTGGGCTGAGTGAACCGATCTTAATCTACAACTGGAGATGCAAATTGAGGACTTTTCTTTGCTTGACTCTTTTACTGCTATATCTGCCATCAAATGTTTTTAAGCAGCTTGATATAAATGAATATGGCCACCGTTTGAATAAGAACCAAAAACAAAAGATTCTCGAATGTTTTATACAACTAGCAACAAGCTATGAACTACATGTAAAAAATCATTTGTAACTTGTGAACCTTTATTGGGTCAAATCCACTTTTGTAAATCTTCCTGGCAGCAACAGTCATTTCACATTAAGCTACAAAGCAGTGACCTTGAAACAGGGTGGGGCTGTGTATTTCGAGCTCTGGACCATTTGTCTCTCCAATTTCTCTGCAATTCCTGCAGTCCATCACTGTCATAAGCTCATTATTGATCAGAGACTGATGCGTCTCATGTTCACAGTTAGTTGTCTCCTATTGTATCCTCATCACTCTTATATGAGCTTTGCACATTGATATGTGCCGCATCAGAACTGTAAAATAAAACAGGATCTTCAAGAGAGATTTCCAGTAACAATAAAAACATTATAGCTATGATCCCAAGCGCAAAACTAAAGTTCAAATATCTTTATTTATTGGTACCTGTGGGAAGACATGGATAAATGATTTTCATTTAACTCTAGTGGTCCGAAGAGAGAGAGAGAGCAATTTGAAAACTCCTACCCATCAAAAGGTCGACTACAAGGAGAAAATGACTGCTGCATGAAGACTGCAAGGAAATAGGAAATATGCTGCAAAGTTACTAAAAAGAGGCCAATTATAACTGAAATGGGATGCAAAGAAGACTGCAGAAAGATGCTTAGCCACAGAAAAAAGACACTAAATTACAACAAGGAAATGCAATCTTTACGCAAAACAACCATAAAGACACAAAGACACAAAGACAAAGACACAAAATGACTAAAGACAGATTAGAAAACTACATGAGGGATATTCGTTTGTATTTGTTTCAGTCTGGGTTCCTATGCAGGAGGGATGGGGCATTTACATGTCTGTGTCCTGGGACATGTCGTCTTATAATCTGTCCATTGCTGTTAGGGTTAGTTAAAAAAGCAGCTATTTATTGATAATATTTCAAATTAAAATGTTTTAAATTGTCGGTTTAGCATATATTAGGGAGTCTACACTGGCTGTAATTGTAAAATTCATTATTGTCAAGAACCAGAGCTTTATCACCCATTTTGACAAATGTAATGTCCTGCATTCAAAAACCATTTAATATTTAAGTGAGAGTTAAGGCAGTAACAGTACCTAGCTCCCTCTCAATAAGACGGATATAGCCTACTGTAAGCTTTCCAACACAACCTTCTGAAGCGCTTCGCTGTGCAAACAGCAGCAGGAAATGACTCCAAATTGTACCCAGAATGCGAGCATGTGAACAAAACACCCCAAAGAGCGTCTCAAACCATCGTGCAAATGTCTGAGGACTGCTATGTGGCATGAAAGGAACATCCATCTCATTTAAATAAGTCAACAACTCTGCAGTATTAGGGTTTGGGGCTCAGTAGTCACAGGGTGCCTCCACAGGAGCCGCCCCCCCGGCATGTTATCTTTGTGCTGATTGACTCAGCGGGCTCTCATTATCACGGGCAGAATGAGCTGTTAATGTTCTCACAGCCTCTCCTGCTCATTTTCAGGTTACAGCGTGGTTGGGGAATGTCACTTCAATGCCAGTTTTGTGTTCCTCTTAAATTGGTTGAGGCTATTACCACATTATTTATAGCACATGCTTTATTTAGTATTCCCACTAGAATAATCCAAAAAGCTCTTTATTGTTACAGTGATGGAAACTCTTTAAAGCTGTGGCTCTACTGCAGTTCTTTATCTGACGGACACCTCGCAGGATGTAAGAGTACCTTTTATAAATGGTTGCCTCAAGGCTACAATCTTGGGTGAGATACCATAACTCTCAATAATGTCCGAGCAGTGACTGGCTGAGAAGAGGTTTGTAGCTAAAGAAAAGCCATAGATGGTTACACCAATCACAGAGAAATATTTTCTCAGAATCAACACGATCTCTTAACTAACAGGTAGAACCGGACGCAGGTGATATTTTAAAAGTACTACATTTACCTCTGCTGAGGATTACCTCCTTACAAAGTTATGAGTCTGCGGTAATGAAGAAATAAGCGGTTTCACACTATGTATTCAAATATTTGAAGATTAATTGCTCAGCAGGTTCATTGAAGGATTACACAAAAACTACAAAGAGTTGTAATTTGTCACATAATACATGAATCCGTACAAATTGCAATCTTGTAATTCTTAAAGCTTTTCCTGGACCGTAGAAAGGAGACAACTTATTAAAGCATTGCACATTAAAAATCAAGGAAATGCTGAGGAAAATGAGGGTTGTTATGAATAGTACATTAAATATTTCTCACCTCTGATGCACAGGACATAAATGCTGCATTGGAGCTATCCATCTAATGTTTTGATAATCTATATTCTATATTAATTTCCTTCTTATTCCATTTCATGAATACATTTCATCTGACAGTTTCTTTGAGAAAAGTAGAGTTCAGACAGTTCAGATTTACCCTTGGCAAAAACATGTTTTCTTTTAAATCTTTGCCAAACACAAGGATAATACAAACAAGGAAGATATATAATTATCAACCTCTTGCATTGCAGTTTTGGCTTCCAGCTATTTATATTAATTAACAGGCCTTGCAGCTAAGCTTGCTTGTTGAATGACAATGTTTTCCTCATTTGCTTCAGAAGCTCTTATCAAAAGTGATAGACCTGGCAAGATCAAAGTGCAGCTAGTGGTTTCCCCTCCGGCACTTTCTGACTGGTAGAGCGAGATTTTAAAGGACTTGTGACAAGCACACTGCCTTTGAAGCGGATTAGTATTGTTACCTTCTCATGTTGCACTACTGTCCCCAGAAATCAGTGGTTTAAACTATCTGGCCGTCTGAACCCCACACAAATTTCCCAGTGGTGAAATATGTGTTCTCACCATTTCAAAGTGGCCCCTTGAGCCCTATAGTGCTGCACTATAATCATAATGAACCTCTATGGGGCACACAAAGCTGCTGCTGATAAAACTTATTAAGCTTATTTTTCATGTCCCCAAGGAAAGATTGATTGCACTTGAGAGCCTTTTAATATAAATATATTATCTCCCTCAGTGGTATGAAATCTCACTCTGAAAAATGCTGCTCCAACACTTTAGCAGTGGAAACGTGATCAGAGGCAATCCAAGACTGCAGCACACTTTAAATCCTGCAGCTACAGAGCTGTAAACCAGCTCAATATTTGTTGCCTTGATAGAACAAAAGACATATGATTGTTTACTTCACCTTGAACATTGTCATCACATTATCTTTCACTGCTCCTTGGATCCCTTTCAGTTTCAAACAAATGGAGGATTGAAAGGCAGCTCCTCCACTGCTAATCACTTCTATGTGTCAGCAGCAGACACTCTGTACGGCTACTGCAGGTGTTGTATTGTTCATCACCCGAAATTTTACAAACAAAAGGTAAACAGTATCAAACTGTACTGCCTGCTGCAATCTTCCAGACGATACTGCTGCATCAGAACCAAGACCACGAGACTAAGAGACAGTTTTATCCCACGGGCAATTAGACTGACAAACATCTGTTTACAGTCCACATATTTATATATTACCATAAGCATTATTACCTGTACTGTACAGTATTTAATTAACATTCTGTTTTATTTAACTATTTTTTAAATGTATATAGTTTACTTATTTCTTCTAGAAGACATTCCTGACATTGTGTCCCTTGCACCATTCTCAATTTCAATATTATTTCTATATCTTCTTGAATTTATTTTTGATGTACTGCTTCAAGTACTACATTTAGAAACAACCATAAATAGAAATAATATTTTTTTAAATTGTATATGCGCCATAAATATGAGACTGGAGCCAGATGATGATTAGCTTGGTTTAGCATAACGACTGGAAACCGAGGGAAACAGCTAATCTGGCTTCAAAGATAACAAATTCCAACTACTGGTACATCTTAACTTCATTAATTTAAAAAGTAGTATATTTTCTGTTATATTTGTACAAAGAAAAAGAAAACAACCTCCTGGAAAATAGTCCAGCCCATAACCCCCAGTGAAACCTGAACTTGTAGGCTACTTTTTACACAAGAAGAAATATATGACTTTTTAGTTAGTTACACAGTATTTAACAGACACACTAAGTGGTAAGTGGTATTGAACTTTCTATCTGACAGTTCTGGAGCTAATACTAAATAAATATTACACTTAAATCTGTTTCGAGTGTCAATATTTGAGTTCAGTTTACAGCTCCCTCCTCAAACAAAGAACATCTAACTGAATACACCTAACTGCTACTAGCATGTCGGTTATTCTGTGCCGTACCACAAAACGGATTTCAATTAAGTTGAAATAGATGGATAAAGAGTTGCTATATGTCTCGTTCCCTTTTTAAAGTTGTGTGAGTGAGGCAGAGTCTCGGATTAACAAGGACAGGTTGAATTACAGCTTTAGTTTGGGGGCAATTCAATAGGAAGTTAATCAATCTGAGGATTAATTGTTGCACCACATCCTGAGCAGCAGACACTCGATACAGCCAGAGGGAGACTGCTTTAATGGAAATGAAATACAGACAGCACACTGCTGCAGCAGCTTAACCCTTCACAGCTCCTACACATGATTAATGTCTTATTAAAGAGAATAGGCAAGGTGAGTATCATACATAGTCTCATTCATATAGTATGTTCCAGTTTAAAGAAGTGTGTTATAAGAATCTTTTCATTGGAATTTTTCCCAGGTTGGGGGTCATTTCGAGGCTCAAGGATCCATGACATAAGGTATA